ACGATCCCTGTTGTCTGATGTGGTTATGCAATTGTCAGGACCGCAAGACCAGACTTTGCTAGATGTTACAGCAACCTCTGGTGGCCATCGTAATAGGAACTGTAAGAGGAAATCTGTGAAAATGGAGGCAGAGGCTGTTTGATACAAATTTTTATAGTAACTAAGATGTCAGCATTTTACAGGACAGCTGTCAGTGTAAATAAGGCCAGATTGAGCAGCTTCTAGAAGAATAATTTCAAATTTGTTGGCAATTAGCATCTTCTCAGAGTGTGTCTAATTTCAGACCAGACTGAGAGTTTTGGAAGCAGTTGCGTTTTTTAGCCTGTTGGGAGAAGATAGAGCGCATGTTACCTTCCCCTTGGCGGTGCTGGGAAAAAGGTGAAAAGCAGATGAAGTTGCTAGCCTTATGCTCGCTCAAGGAGAACCTTCACAGCTCGTCAGTGGGTTACACAAATTAAGTAGTTAAAGAAAAATCATGAAGAGAAAGACATACAAATAAAAGGCACCACATTAAACCAGGGAAGGAAATGATGTATAAATAGAATGATATTAATATTTAGAGACGAGAGCGATTACTTTTCTCTTGCCAGGTGAGATTTGCAGACCCATGTCTGTCTGGCAGCTCCTTATTGAAGAAGCACAACCCTTCAAGAGGAGAATTCTTTAAGGAGTACTTTGAAAATGCTCTTCAGCTTTTAGCCGTTTGAAAGAAGGAAAATTTCCTGTGCTGGTGATATCGGAAGGTTTCTCCAAAATATGCCTTTGCCATGATGGCGGGCTTGATTACTTTAGATGTTGAACCACTAAATTGATGAAGCACACTGTGAGCGCAAGCCTTAATTTCTCACTTTTGTGGCTTTTCAGTGAAGATTGTAAGAAATGGAGTGGTATAACGTGTTTAAAGGTGACCTGAAGGTCTGTGGGTACTCCTTGAGGGCTGCTGTGCTTTCACAGAGGCTTCCTAGCTCTAGACAAGAGTTTCACAGCAGGAAGACTGCTTTATGTTGACTTACCTGTAAGAACCACACCTTCAAGATCGCAATCTTGTGTGTGTTTAGTTAGCAGATGTGAACGGGGTGATTGAGGAGGAGTTCACCATGGCACGGCTTTACATCAGCAAGATGAAGTCTGAGGTGAAGTCTCTGGTGAACCGCAGCAAGCAGTTGGAGAGCGCCCAGATAGACTCCAACAGGAAGATGAACGCCAGCGAGAGGGAGCTTGCAGCTTGCCAGCTCCTCATTTCACAAGTACGTTTGTTCCTTCCTTGTCCCTTTGCAGCAAGGTTTGATGACTTTCTCAGCCTCCTTCCTCATGAAATGTGTGTGCTAGGAGTGAGAAATGAGACTTAAGGGAGCAGAGTGGTGTTTCTCTTGTCTGTTTTGTTGGTTTTTCTCTCTTCTCCCGTTCCTCCCCCTCAATGTTTTTCAGCACATTCTGTGGTGAGATCGTGTCCTGCTGTAGATCTCAAAATGTGTTCTGTGGCATAATACAGAAGATCCTCCTCAGAGTGATTTCTTCAGCATGGATTTGTGTCTTGTGCCTTCACTTTAAAAGCAACCCGAGAAAGGAAGCAGTGATTGTATGGTTCACTAGCAAAACATTTGGAGAGCCCCCCTTACCTGGTCTGTCAGTACGCCACCAAGATATATTAAATAATACATTATGGAAAACATTACTATATGAGATAGAAATCCAGATGGTAGGAGGGCTTCACAGTGGGTAGCAGCTACGAGTAGTGATGCTTGCTGCAGCCTGCTGCAGGAGAGGGAGCTAACTGCTTTGACATGCTCAACTGCTTTGAAGTGGACGTGTGAAGGGAGGAGATGAAATACAATAAACCGTATTTCATTTTTTACCAGTTAGTCTAAGAAAACCTGGAGAAAGGATAGCCTCTTGTCTTGCAGCAGGATGTCTTTATTAAGTTCTACTTAATAAAGCTGTAGCTGGAAGCGTGCATCTTAGTATTACAGGGAGGCTGGAGTCCTGAGGCTATTGGCTGTCCAGAAATGTTAAGTAAAAACTATACTTTTCATCCTGTCTTAAAGCAGACCCTGGGCTGGCAGGGCCACTGAAGGAAGCCATCCTGCCAACCTATGCTGCTCCCTTTCCTTGGGAACTGGCATTAGTAAAGCAGATTAAGGCTTGACTCGCAAAGCAGCTGTATGCGTGCTTCTGCTGGCAGGAGAGGAGCAGGAACGCAGAGCTGGGAACAGGGGTCTCGGCAGTGGGTGGTGGGACAGCCTCTTTCAGCCGTGGCGTTGGCTTACGCTGACCCGGTGAAGGAGTGAGCGGAAGGCAGCCCAGCTGCCTCTGTGGGGTTGGTGTTTGTCCACACTGCGGTCACACTGGAATCCCAGAGAGCCTCAGTGCTCTCAGCTTGTCACGAGCATGACCTAACTGTTGCCCTCAGTACCTCTTTACAGACAGGAGGCTGGAGGTTTAGGATTTGAGAGACTTGTCCAAGTACTGTATGTTCATGTGGTGAAGAAACTAAGCAGAAATACTCTTAAGCAGGTGATCACCTTGCCTTGGCATTTTGGAGGTTCTACAACTGGGTGCATATTGAGACCCATCTGTGGGAAGAAACTGGGTGCTGTTATACTCAAAATGTTGTTAATGGGCAAATGCACCTTATCTATAAAGCCACCAAGTTAAAAAGCAGCAAAGCAAAGTGGCAAGGCAGGTCAGGAAGAGCTCAGAGAGAGCCTGACAAGCCTCAGTCCTGAGGCCTTGCAAACTCAGTACAAAGCTGGTGGCCCGTCACTACCAATGGCCATGCCGGGTCACAGGGCTGCACAGTTACAGTGTTAAGCTGATCCATAAAATGGCGCATCACCGCTGCGTACTGTACCAAGAGTCTCCGTTTTGGAGCCGGAACATTTGGAGCCAAGCTGGGTGCTGACTAAATTTCTTGTCAGGTTTAGGAATCTGTTGGAAGACTTACTGCCCAAAGCGTGCAGCTCGGGCATGCCCCTTCCCTTCCTGGAGACCTTGGGGCCAGGAGGGTCTGAACTATTTTAGTTGCTGCTAAGGATTACTCCTCTCTAAGTCTCATCTTTACAGTGGCACCAACCCAGCAGCCTCGGCCCCTCTCTGCCAAGATGAACTTTAAAAACAGTGAACCACAAATGCTTCAGTGGCCTTATTAATAGGATGTCATAATTCCTAGACAGTATCTTAATTTTACCCCCAAATTAGGAGATTTTAATTTGATTTTTGGTATTTTCAGTACATTCTTCGCTATTTTCTATTTAAACATAAGCCCTTCTAGCTCAAAAGGATGTTAGAGAGAAACAAATCATCAGGATGGCTGGTGAAAGTTGATCTGAGCTTCTGCAGGTTGAAGCATCCAGGAAGCCACCTCAGAAGCCCAGTGTTCAACTGGTTTTAGAAAGCTGCTGCTGTTTGTTTAACACCAAGTCATGAGCTTCCCCTGACGTTTTGGAATTACCATCTGCACTGTTAAGTATATGTCTTGGGGTACTAAGTGTGACCTTTAAAAATGCAGTCTGTTTTGGTCCATTAGCTCCTTCTCAGATCTTTTGCTGTATTTTCTCCTAGTCATCAGCTCTGGATGTGGAGAGCTTTCTATTTTTCCTCCTTTATGAGGACAGTACCTGAATTTGTAGGTAACAAGCTGTGGTACTCACATCTCATTGCTATTCCCCATGTCTTTAAAGCATGAAGCAAAGATCAAGTCCCTTACAGACTACATGCAAAATATGGAGCAGAAGAGAAGGCAGCTGGAAGAGTCACAGGACTCTCTCAATGAAGAACTTGCCAAGTTACGTGCTCAAGGTACAACGCTGGGTCTTGTGGTCATCATTTCTTTTACCGACTGTATCTTAGAAAATTCAGTATTGGCTGAAGTATCGTATGTAGAGTAGTCCTACAACGTTTTAGTGTCTGCTTAGTATTTTGCGGTGAAGACATGAAACTGTGATTCAGAATATTTAACACGTTGCACTTCCTTGTAGTACATTACACTTCAGATAAAACCAGAATTACCCCTTTCAGCCTAGTCCTTTCACAAAATACAGAGAACTTTAATTTTTGAAAAGAATCAAAAACTTTATGACAAGCTTTATCTTGTGCTTTTAATGATGTGAGAAATTAAAAATACCCCAAATACTTCAGCTAAACAGCACCAGTCAATCTTGCTAAATCTCTACTCCGTAAAATTCTTGGATATCTCTCTAATTTCAGTTGTCCCTGTGGCAAATGCCCTGCCCCATTCAAAAGGAAGCTGCTTCCCTCACGATCGATAAAACATGTGTCTTTTCTAGCTCCTATGTAGGATCCAGCTGACTTAATTTTGAGAATTGCTGGTTTTTCCCCTTCTGATTTAATGTGGAAAATGCATATCAAAAGCAGTTGTTCTAGCATTGCTAAGCTCCTAGTTTACGTATAATTACAATGTGACCTAGTAGCCTTAACATTATTCTGGATTTCTGCACAAGGGATCTTTTCTCACTTTGGGAGCAGCAGGTGGTGACAAGATTTTTTTTTTTTTTTTTTTTTTTTTTTTAAGCATCTCCTGCATTTTTTTAGAATAGAATTTTTATTCCATCTCCTGATCTTCCTACCCCACTCCTAAGAAATGACCTGGTTCCAGAGGCCACCATTTCCCAGCAGAAAGTGCAAGGGGACAGGGAGGATTGTGATATGTGGGGTTATAAGGAGACAAGGGTAGGTTGGAAAGGTGCTGGGTAGGCTGAAAACAATGTGGACTGTGAGTAAAGGAAAAGGGGGTTTGGGCAGCATGGTCACAGTTTGGATACTGCAAGCCGTGGCTGTTTCTGCCCCTCCAAAGCTGCCTCCCCTGATCCCGCTGCCCCCTGCAAAAAGAGGAACTGTTGATTTTGGTTTGGTTTTTTTTTTTAAATGGCTGGACGTAGCATGTCCTGGAACTGTGCGGTTAATTCTCAACTGTCTCCAACTTTAAACAGAAAAAATGCACGAAGTCAGTTTCAAGGATAAGGAGAAGGAGCATCTCACCCGGCTTCAGGATGCAGAGGAGATGAAGGTAGTGTGGCGGGCGGCAATTGTAGAGGGCATTTCTCAGTGAGCTCGTTTGTTAAGCTGATAATTAGGGTGTAATTTTTTCTTCCTGTACACAGTGTGTGCTTTTAGAACACACTTTTAGCCTCTGTCAGAATTGCCAGCTTCTGTTAGAAAACCTGACCTCATGTAACTGAGTGACCTTTGCAATTTGAAATTAGAGAACTTGCTAGTACTGAGGTGGTTGACCAGATTATGGAAAAAAGCAAGCTGTAGCCTGAATATCTGAGATGAGCGCATTTTCTGAGACCAGTTTGTAAGCTGAGCCAACATCAAAGAGTAGAGAGGTTCAGTGGACTGGTTTTGCTGAATTGGACGTGCCTGGGTTCCTCAAATCACACGAATGGAAGGCTGAAATATAAGAGCCAGTATATTGCGCCCATAGTTGAGAACGGTTTTGTTATATGTGATTGAAAAAAGACACCGATTCACCTCTGTGTTACTCTAATTTTTTGCCAGTGCAACTCTGCTGAAAGTCAATTTACTAAGTAGTGAATCAGGCTACCAGGGTTAATGTAATTTAGGTACTAAAATTTTATTAAAAAAAAGAGTCCGGACCACTTACCCAAATCATTTGGCAAGAATTCTGACTATCTCCTAGAAATAATAATGAAATACAAGCCAGTTTTCTGGTATTTTCTTCTTCCTTTGGAATGAAAAGAAGAAATGCGAGGCAGTAATGCGCGAGTTGTGTTTCTGATGGAGTTGCAAACTGCATAAAAGGAAAAATTAATTTTACAAGGATAGTGATAGAGGTTTGTCAGCTTCAGAACTGTAACCTCCATTATAAAAAAGTTACAGTTATTAAAACAGTTGTACAGTTATTCCTTACAGTTGGAAGAAAAAAGCAAATCCTTTATTAGCCTTCTAAAGGGATGCATTGAGGATTTTTTACTACTCGAGATATATCTAATCCTGGAATTTCAACAAGGCCATGGATGAACAATTTTCAGAGGGGGAGGGCGTTTCGGGTTTTACTTCTGTCACAGGTATAGCTTTGGGGGTGTGTGAATGAACAGGTGAAATACTAGAGGACTGGTAAGAACAGTGTCATTCTCGGCACTTGATGTGCTAAGACCCCGGGTTCACATGGAGTAGTTTTTGCAAGAAAATGAGTAGAAATTGGTGTACGTCTGTGGCTAAAAACTGTCTGAATGAAACGCTTAGTTGAGTAGATGCACAGTTGTGCAGTCGTAGAAAGATCTCCCATGCAGATTCCTGAATTAACCTGATTTGATAAGCTTCACTCAAATCCAGAAAGACGGGTTGATTTAGCTGACCCGTAAGAAGGAAGCTTAGCTGTGTTACTCGACTTCTGGTTCATGTATGGCTCTGGTTTTTGCACGCTGCAGAAGGCACTGGAGCAGCAGATGGAGAGTCACAGGGAAGCCCACCAGAAGCAGCTGTCCAGGCTGAGGGATGAAATTGAAGAGAAGCAGAAAATAATCGATGAAATCAGGGAGTATGTTCACGCGCTCCGTCACTTTCTCTGTTCCTGTCCTGTTCTGTGACACTGTAGGGATGTTTTGGGGTCGGTTTTGTTAGTTTTAACTGATGTCTATATATTGCGGTGTCTTACAGAAAGTAGCGTCCTTACATGCAATGGCCAACCCTCTAATTATTTTGCACAGTGGATTATAGTTCCTAGTTCTTTATTGTGGAGCTTTAACAAGTCCATAAAAATATAGAAAGGAAAAAGAAAGAATAATGTTACGCCTGCAGGTCAGGAGGTAAGAGGAGCTTGGAGGAGAACAGATTTTAAAAGATAAAGGTTTTGAGGGCCTCTTACAGCAACTAGTCCTGCCACAGATTTTCTGAGAGTCTGGGTGGCTTGAATGTGTCCCATTTTCACACCCTTAATATTTCTTCCTGACACAGCAACGTAACTCTGTTAGCCTCTCCAGCACTTGAAAAACACAGTTCTTTGCTCCTGTACTCTTCTTTTTGTCCATGTTCATAAAATCTAGGCAATCCTGATGTAGTGTTCATTCTTTCATCCTATTTATTGTGTGGCCAAAGACTAATAATAGAGAAATGAGGAACATGAGGAAGCAGGACAGAAAGATTGCAAGAACAGTTTGTGTCCTTTAAGTCAAAGGAAGCAAGCCACTGAATTTAATTCTCCAATATTTTTAAATATCGTTCTTCAGATTCTTTATGCTTAATTTCTTTCAGAATTTTTCAGTAGAGTTACAGCTTTAGTTTCTCTGTCTAACCCCATTTTGTTTATGGAGATTTACCCACCCTTGTTTATGGGGTTCAGGAGTGAGCTGTACTGACTTTTTCTTTTGCATTCCAGTATGAATCAGAAGCTGCAACTGGAACAAGAGAAACTGAGTGCTGATTATGATAAATTAAAAATTGAGGACCAGGAAAGAGAAATGAAACTGGAAAATCTCATGTAAGTCAACAGTTTTCTCATCTGGTGACCTTGAATATCGTGTCTTTTAACGTGTCCGCAGGAAATGTCCTAGTGAGAAGCATTTGTGTTGAAATATTCACGCTGAAAATATAATTTCAGTAACAAAGCCAACATGCAGTGCTAATGTATGATTACCAATTACTCCGTATTTTTATATCATAGGGTTTTTAATAGCGGATTTGATACTTGCCAAAAAAGATTTTTTTAGAGCTCTGATTTTATGAAATATCACAGCGAGTGCTAAATCCCTCATTCCTTAATGCATGACAAAAACAAACAAGAAAGAAGGTGGGGGTTTGGGGTGGGTTTTGGGGTTTTTTTTGGTTTTGTTTTTTTTAAGCAATAATCAGACATCTGAGTAAAAGCCTTTCCTGGAAATGAGAGGGAAAAATTTCACGTGTGGACGCAAAAAATGGAGATGGTGGCTCAGCCATTCTGTGTGAGAAAGCTGCATATTTGGGACAGTCAAAAGCGTAATTACAGATGTGAAGAGATGTACAATTTGCTCACATCTGCAGATGTTCTACTCAAACTGAATGTTGATTGATTCTCTTCTGTCTTGTATGACTTCAACATTTTTGATTTTTGTTTACTGTTGTGATCTTTCTAGACTGCTTAATGATAAAAGGGAACAAGCAAGAGAAGATCTTAAGGGGCTGGAGGAAACAGTGGTATGTCTTAATTACACTTTATTCAGCGTTTTTTCCCCCTAGGTCTTCATCACTGATGTGTTACCAAAACACTTGCATCTGTGCCCAAGAAAATGACCAATTTATGTCATAATAGGCTAAATCTGTGCATTTTGCCAAATCATGAAATTGAATTTTAAAATTCAAGATTAAATGCTGTTATTATTTCTTCCTGTGAATAAGCTGTCACTGTTAACGTGTACTGGTACTCTGTTTCACTGTCCTTGTTCCTTTACGTCAGCTGGAATAAGCAGGGTCCTGAGCAGCGTAGCTACAGCTAGGTGATACGTACCTGCCTCCAGCTTGAGCAGTGCAACAGCTTACGAAGAAATCTGATATTGTTCATGCAATGTTAAAAATGCAGTCTATGGTGGATGGCTTCAGGCTTGAAGCTGTTGCCGCACAGTTTTGTTGGAGGCTACATTCTTATCTGTAAAATCTGCAAGCCTTCTCAAAGATCTCAGAAGTTGGTCAAAACCACAGCTGTTTTAGGAGCATCATATAGTGATTTTTGGTAATGTTAATATGGTTATTAACTCAAACCCAGGATTTTCTCCTCTGCGTGATGCTTTAAAAATTAAGCTTATAGTGGCCTCAGGATCAGTTGGAGTTCATGACTGAAGCTGAACTATTTGGGTCCTTTCAGCTTTGGCTCCTGATGGCTCCCCAGATGTAAGCCCTGTTAAAATAAATTCATGTGAGGGACAGATTTAAGATTTAACCAACCTTTCTGGTATGAAACTGTACTCGTCAGATACTTAGAGAGCTTGCATGTAGACTTGATTTGCCCTGTACGCCGAATGAGTAAGGCAGCTGGAAATCAGAGTTAGGTGGTATGATGGCATCAGCTTGCAGTAACCCAGATGGTATTTTTAAAATTTTTGAATAAACATCTTTGAATTATCTTACATGAAAATTTTATGCACTTTGTTAGAGTTTTAATAATTACTGCAGCAGGA